TTTGGGGACCTACTGGTCATCATGAGAAGATTCTGGAACCACAGCAATGACCATAAAGCTGCACTGGATGGAGAGCTGTGCCACGGGGCTTTCCAGAGGTAATCACGAGGAGATTGTGGACAACAGATGGAGATCTGAAGGATGAGGGGAGCGTTCCAATCGACAGTGCAGAGAGGAAGTTCAAGGATGGCATCATGATTCTGTGAACAGAAACCAGAAGCTATGGTGGTGACGGGGAATGACTGACAGCAATTTCCTATGAACATCACCTAATGCTGTGTCACTGTGCTATGCATGCTTTGACACTCTGAAGAGGGTCTTCCTTTGTGTCATTGTTGTTGTAATTTGCATCATGAACAAGACTGCTGAAGTGACTCAACAGGTGGGGTTATAACAGCAGTAAAATAATTGAATCCAATATCCTTTCCAAAAAAGGTTTTCTGCAGAGATGAAAGGACAATAGAGGAGTCATAAGTACCCCCCACAGGAAGAATGCATGAAATGAGGTGATGAGGGTTGATAGAGGCCATAAAACAGGAGTGCTGACAAAGGCCTGCAGCCTTGAAGATAACTGAAAGCCACATTGACAAACAGCAAGACTAACTGGTGTGTTTGTTATACCCATGTCTGCATTTGGACTCTGGTCATATGGACAGTGATAGAAACAACTGGAAGAGACATTTATGAAGCTCTGAGGAACTCAAACCACTCTGCATGTGTGATTTACACACCTGGAGGAGATGCACCACAAAGCTGGAATGATTTTGCAAATGTTAATTTCTATGTTTGACTGTTAACATTCATTTGCTTACTTGGAGGGAACGATGCTCGTCACAGTTCTCTCCCTCATGCACGAGCAACACAAAGAGCTCTGGTGACTTGCGTCTTGTTTTTGCCATTGTAGTAGAATTGTCTTGGCGTTCCAGCAATAGGTCTGTGCTAGATGAACATATCAGCAACCTTCAAAGACGTGTGGAGAATTCATTATTTCTTTGAAAGATTTTTTACTAAATAACAGAAAAAAGAAAGTAAGAGAAACTTTAATTCTGTAAAACAGTAAAAATTCCACACACATGTAACTCACCACTGTGTGAACATCACAGGGGAGAAATCGTTTCTCTGAGTCAGAGATGAGTGTCAGTAACACAAAAGTAACACTCAGTGTCATGCAGTGACTTTTACACAACCAGATCAGATGAACCAGCTCACACTAAAA